AGAAAACTGGAAGAAGAGAAGATTCCGAAATTAAAAAGTATTTAGCGTTTGATACAATTTAAAAATATATATATATATAAAGGCAAATCAAAGGCAAAAAAAGCGGTTTAAGACATAAAAATCACAAGAAATACAAAATAGATGTCCTTGACCTAGAGCAAAAAATTACCAATGAACTCTTTCTGCTCGGACATAATCGTGATTTTCTTTCTATAAATTTATGGGTAAATTATACGATACTGAAAAGAGACACTAGTGCAGTAGTAATCTATTAATAAACATTTGCGTGCTAACTATAATTGAGTGCAGTGACGAATTTGGAGTTCATCGATCAAGACCAACGGTGAGTAAACTGTTATACTTGCTGATCTCTTAATACGTACAATTACCATTATCGTTCACCAAAATCGTTACTATCATATACGATATTTCATTCAATTCGTCTATTTATTTTCCTAATTTTTTATGTTATTACCACAAATTGTATCAAACATATGAATTTAGTTCATGTATATGGTCTTGCATAAAATATTGATCAATAAGAAGATAAATTATGTGAACGAAGAAAACCATCGTTTAACTATATGAGAAAATTCATTAATATTAATTACAATATCTGGTGCATCTTCTGTTAATGATACACTAAAGTGATACCCATTACTTAAAAAATAATTAAAATTCTCATAATCATAACAACAGGAACACTAAACAATACACAATGTTTGTTTTGAGAAAATTGAAAAACATTCATGAATTTCGTAACACAAATTCGTTTTTTATCTCTGTTAGTTAAATACACGATCGAGTTAGGAGATTATTAAAATATAGACTCTGAAAATACTTTGATTTTGGATAGCGCAATGTGACTAATGTTATGTGTCTACTTTTACGCTGTGTTTTATGCTTATAAATATCTTATTTTGTTAGTAATCGAACTATAAGTAAATAGTTATATTTAGTTATAGATATTCGAATTTCAATAACAATAGTTTAACATCAAGCAAGTAATAATTCTGAAAAAAAATTCTGAATTAATCAGCTACGAAATTGTTACGAAAAATTAATTAATATACTTTTGTTCAAATTTGAATTCTGCGTACGATCTTGATTAGAGGGATGATGGTGGCAAGTAACTAAAAAAATGGAGTTCCCAGGCAACATGAAGCCCAGTTCATAGGGCGTAGCCCAGGGGGCATTCTCAGTCATAGAGAGTTTTCCAAAGTATCCGCGGCTACGACGGATCCGTGCCTTGGTTTTTACGATTTAAGGGAGAAAGGCGAGCGTGGCGGGGTTTGAAATGCAGGGTGTAACTGTCAGTCATGCAATAAAACTTTTAACGCCTTCGTGTCCAATAAGCGTATCGTCTACGGAGTTTTACATTGGGTGGTGCACCGCGGCCATTACGGCGTAACAGGCGATGCGGCACGCTGATTGGTCGCTCGAACCATCATGGCCGCTCTCTAGCCAAGATTTTCCCCACCACTTCACTGTCAACAGCGTTTTCCATCCCTCCAACTATCCTGACTCTGTCCTTGTGTGTGTTAAATCTTTGAGGGTAAAGTAATACGAGACCGGGTTGAATTTCTCCCGAAACCAGGTAACATTTTGCGATTTTTGCAATCGATGTTCATAGGTTCCGCGAAGAGAGGAGTTTTCATCTCTCAACAAAATGCAACAATACCATTAAATATAATTCATGAGATGTAGATATTGCTATTATAAAATAGAATCATGCTTCAATATAATACTGTTAATATCTTTTCAATTTCATATTAATAATTCTAATCTATCTAAATAAGGGAAAGCTTATGTCTTGTTAATTATACGCAAAATTAAGTTTGATGTGTTATTCGTGTGAATTTTATATAAAATTTGTTAATAATCTTTGATGAAAGCAATTATGACAGAACTATAATAAGTGTTTTTAATTATAAATATGTATGTATATGTTCATATAATTTAATCTGAAATTGCTCGGTTCAGTATAATATAGGTCGATAACTCCTATTGCATCCTACCTTACCGATCGTATGGTGTTGCTTACAATGTTTATGTGATGTAGAACATAGCCAAACAATTTACATACTAACTTGAAAAATTTTGCAATACTTTTTACATGCACGTTACATACTGCGATAGTTTTCATATTGCAGTTTTATCAAACTACGGTTTTATATATTTTAGAAATTTACTCAAGATCATAACTTAGATTAAGTGGGAAATTTATCTTAACTTTGTTTGCATTTTTATGTGCATCACATGATAAGCGATATTCTCCAGTCTTAAAAAAAATCTCGGTTCATCAAGCCTCGCGTTAAAATTTTAATCCAAGCTAGAAGCTCCCGATAAAAAGAAAAAATAAAGTACCTGAAGATAGGATGGCTTCCAGGCTTAAATAAGCTTAAATTTCACCACGTCGTGGTGACGGCGAGTATATTGGTATCAACGTAGCATACACGCCAGAAGCGAGTAACAGCTTACTTTGGAAATAGGCTGGGTGGGGAAACTCAATTTTACTAAAATCCTCTCTAGCCAACGTAGACGAGTATATACTATACGTATATACTATACACCAGCGTATCCGTATGATGTTTTTACCAGACGATTTTCCCCGTCTTTATCTCGCTTTCGTGTCAAGTTACCGTGTCAAACATACCTATAATACGTATCCTATATGTAATATCTATAGGTTTGTTTGGAAGCGCATACACTACAGATATTTGTAGATCGACGTTTGCTTGCACATTCAATACACATAATAATGTCGCGAAGTTATGTAGGTGGGTTTTGTCGTGGAGCCATAACTAGAGATACGATGGAGTACATAGGATGCAAACCCATAAACCCCCACCTTGTCCGGATCTTCTTCAGACAGCGTTACCTTTACCTAAGGCCGAAACGACCGTACCACCTACGGTAGCAACACCTTTGACGACGAAAGTGACGTAGGTTGGAATGTTGACTCGTCGACGTCGACGGCAGCGCCAATAAACAACACTCCCGCGTCCGTCTGACTTTCTATTATGTCATAGACTACATATTTCATCGGGATGTGAACCCCGCGAAAGTGTGCGCTCATACATTAGTTAATTTTCGTGACATTAGCGTGTTTTGAAAAGAAAAGAAAAATGGTATGTTAACCTGTTTATGGTCATGAAGTGTGTATAAACAATGTTCGTCAGTCAAGAAGTGACGAAGAGTATCGAAACACAAGTGAGTGACTGAAACGCAGATTAACGGTAAACAAGACATCACGTGGACAACACAAGTTTCAACTATGATCCGCTTCGTCATATACATTGGAGGATACACGGTTGTTCTTTGGGTACTTTACGCGTACATGTATGCGAGGACAGAAGAGGAGGAACTCCGTAGGGATTAACTGTGACCAGTTCGTGCCACGACACGCAGTCGGGTCGATCGTCGGATTCACTAAATTTTACTCGACGGGTTGTAACGTTATTCGCAGCTATTATTGTTTCCGGAAAATCCGTTTGCTCCGATTCTATCGGTTATACGTTACAAACGCGAGTGAACATACTTATTTATGCGCATGCGTACTACTGTAATATGGTATCCTTCTTCCGGATATAGCTATATGCGTGTTATATGACCACGTGTCCACTTTAGTTTTTCGAAGGAATTTTCTACTAACACATTTCAATACAGGTCAGTACTATCGATTAGCTTTATGTTTTATTATCAATTCGTTCACACCCTAAACCTCTCTTTGCAACGTGTCTCCTACTGACGAATCGTCATACATATTTCGATAGTGCGTAAGAAAACAAACATGTCACATTTCAGCCGGCTTATTAGCATAGGCAATGAGTTAACGAATACGATACAATGTACGAAACGGAGAGAAAAGTCAGCTTAAATCATTGTAATGTATACGTTGACGAATGCCGAAATATATTAAGCGTTCTAACCTATATTATCTTTGTCTCTTGTCATTTGTTTCTCATCTCGAGTAGTCATAACACAGTTAAACGCATAATCTTATTTAACATAATTATCGTGGTAACATGCTGAAAGTACAAGTCTTGCCGGTCTTGAAGCAACGTCAAAGTCTCTCACGTTTCGTCTATTGTTGCATGACTGCTTTCGTGTTTAACGCCACGAATACCAAATCGTTGTTTTCGTTCATTATTCTTCATTAGTTGTCGAAGGAGATGCCCCATCCATTGTCAATCATTCATCAAACGCGACCGTGATTCTAACGGCGTAACGCCTAGACAATCGTTTACCTTTAACAAGCTATACTCTCATGAACAGCTGAGAACACGTTGGTAGTTATGATAAACTCCTGACGATGGCGCGCCGAGATATTCGCGGGATATCTTTACGACAGTATATAAATCTTTTGCTCCTGTTGAAACATTACACGTAGCCACGATTAATTCGAAATCAGTAGGGACGTTGCGAATCGTTTAAATCTTTATAAAACACACTTTTTGGATTTATATGAGGTAATGAATTCGTTCGTTGACAGAGTGACTCGGCTAGTAAACACTACTGGAATTAGTTCAAAATATTCAGGGCGTATAAATGTTTTACAAGGAAAGGAGCGCGTCAATAGGAAAGTGGCATTTTATTATATTTTCGTACAAATCATTAAGTCTTCTTAATTTCTGCGTTTGAACAATTTTATATACCTGCAAGAATATAACTTATTGGTTGTATGCATACGTGAGAATGAAAATAATTAGACTACAAACGAATTTATCTTTATATCTAACATTTTCGTTAAGCTTAATAAAAGGTTGGATACACAGCGTTAACGTAATATTCATAAGCTATAAGCTATTACATTTTATGGTTCTACGTCTTTACATTTGATTTATTGTTGTTCACATATAGGTAATTACGACATCCAGCTGATCGTTTGATTTATCACAACTGTACGATTAATTGCGCATCCTCGAAGATTTATTCTCAGGAGTGTCGTACGAGGCGTTTGCATCTAACGTTGCAGCAGCTAACATTCAGGGCCAGTTGGTACGTAAAATAAAGTCGCAGTGAAATTTTTTTCCTTCTCCTTCAGTTTTTCTTTCTTTTTTTGTCTTTTTCAAAGTTGACGCAATGTATTTATATAGTTATACGATTATTTTATTCCTGTGTTTCTTTCATCGTTATGTAGTCGTGAATTTCGTAGCGAAAAATATTGCAGTGATGTTGCAATTAACCCTCGTACGTATACTTAGTTAAATAAACACGCGAGTTACAACATAACGAAAATTATAATGTGTTCCGATTTATCGTTGAACTTCATTTCGATGGACAACTCTTATTCCAACGAGTGCAAGTAATAAACTGATGATATTACAAACGTTTATGATGCATCAAAGATTAGATTATATATTATAATTTACAAGTACATATCAGTCACGATAGTATAGATCTGTTCTCTCTTCGTACTGAAAGTCTGTTTTATTTTCCTTGTGCACAACCGAAAGAAAAGATAGGAAACTGAGAAAGTGTGTACACCTATACGTAATATACGATGGTAAAATGTAATCGGATGGAAGTTCGGTGATGTGAAAATGTGATAGAAATTTGAAATTTGAGATCTTCTTGTTTTCCAATTTTTCTTTATCCGGGTTCTTCGTGTTTCGGATCCACTATCCCGATATGTTTCAAACCAGCCAACTAAAAATATAATAGACGCGAGATAAATATAAAACGTTTCTTCGATTTTATTGTTAATAGTAATAGAGAGACCTATAGACGGATAGAGACGTATAATAATAACTGAACTGCGAGTTTTTTATCCATTTACGAGAAACCGAAGGATGCAAAGTTGCAGAAAAAGAATAGAACATGCAAAATAAGTACATAAAACTTAAAGTACCTATACAAAACAGTTTTCTAATTACGATCATAAAAATATGAAATTGCATAAAGATCCGCAGTCTAATAATAACAAGTACAAGAAATTCGCATTGTATTATTACTTCTTCTTTCTTCAACACTTATGTATTACTTTATGAGACGATATAGCGCTTAATAGATAATCAGATAGTTCAAAAAAAACTACAGAAATGCAAACACTATTGACACTGACCCAAGCAAAGTAAAATTCCAAGAACTATATTCTACCAATTCGCGAAATCAATAAGCCTGAAAGGGTTACGTGTCCAGTTCGAAATGTCAGTATAATAAAAAGTCAATATAGCTGAGAGCGACTAACGTCCGCGATAAAAGAACGCGTTTTCGCAAAAGGATACGAAATCCTGATGCAGCGCTGTTTCGATGAGCCTTCTAACGTTCGTAGATCACGCGAATGTTCCGTCGTCACAGTTTTAAAGGATCACAGACACGGATAATGGCCAGTCGTGTGTGTCGTCTTTTCTAGTCTCGCGTCGTTCGTCGCGTATGTATATAGAAACAGATCAGAGTAGGTACCTATTGTCGGAACGAGGAAAGCGTTGATAGTCGGACAATTTTAACTGGTCCCATGTCTTTGGTGCATAATCCAGCGAAAACCGCAGGCGCTGAGCGCCACCACGAAATATTTTGTCGAGGCACGAATAAATCCGGAGCCGCAGCGTTGTTGCCGCAAGAACCCTCGGCCATTCTGATGCAGTCGTTGCAGCGGTTTCACGAAGATCGCCCATACGAACCGTCTGTCCAGCTTCGCCGCGTGCTTTCTCATTTATTCGCCGAACTCGCTCATCATGCGTCCCATCGCATTTGCTCTTTCTCTCTGCGAAGCCAGCCGAGCAATGGCGCACTTGCCTTTTATTGCGAACTGCACCCGCGACGCGATCGCCTCTTTGTTACGTACACACGAAAAATTAAATCGACCCGAACGAACAGCAGGATGTAATACGAATCACTCGCGTCCATGAAATTTTATTGTCCCGCTAATTAACCTTGCGTACGCGCGCATGCACGCGTAAATTATTTATCAGCCCGGGCCAATGAACGCTGAATAATCGAGATTAAAATATAACACGGATAAACACGATTTAGTACAACTGTATTAATAATATTATAAAGTATTTAGCTACTATAATCTCTGTCGTTAGCGCGAGATGATGAAGATAATAAAGCGGCGGTTCGTGGAACGTGGAAGTGAACGTTCGCTATTTATAATCGCGATCTAATTGGAAACCGAGAGCGTCCTTCGGGTACTTACTCAATTAGACGTCTCCAGTCATCCCTTATAGTCGATTATATATTCCTCTGACGATAGGTATTTCGTATTTGTAGAACCTGCTGCTGGATCTGTCTTGGATCATTTAACAATTACTGATTTGCAATTTGCGAAATATGAATTTATCGGAATGTTGCGGCATACTTTTCTATACATAAAGTACTTACATTATATACATACGTCCAGATGAAAGATCCCGATTGCTCGTTCGATTGCAGTATCTAGGAGTCTCTCTTCAATGGTCTTATCGATCTTTCGAGGCGTTCGCAGTCGTTTCGGTAGGCTTCGTTGACAATGCTCGAATATTGTAACATTCTCGCGAGAGTTCGAGCGAAACTTTCCGTTGGTCTACTCGCCTACGCTGACACTCTGTGCTCCCCACTTCTTCTTCGCCGTCTTCCAACCACGAGGTTGCTCCTTTTTTGTTCCTTTCATCCCTCCTTTCCAAGCTACCTTTTACGTTTCTTCCAATGGGAAGTCTCACCTTTGCCAAATTACCTTCGGCCGCCTGGTGCTCTTCTAGAATTTCGCCTTACCATTCGACTGTTCGCCGCTTATGGCATTTTGCACGCCTTCCATTCTCTCATCCGTCTGCCAGTCTCTTCCTCCGAAACTTCCGCTTCGACAAGTTACAATACATCGGGAGATCAACGTTGTACGTAAAGTTTAGTGCGGATATAACGAAGGAATTCCTCGCTGCAGCGTTTCTTCGTAACGAGCAAACCTTACCTGGCAGTGGCTATAAGAGCGAGGAGAAGTATGCGAAAAAGTTTGCATGAAAAAAATTCTTCCGCATCGACCGACTCGCGGCTGGGTTACGTCCTTCTTTCCAGAGAATGGCTGGCGAGCAAAAAAATTGACCGGCTCTTTTTTTTTTATACCTCGACTAGCTATTTAACCGAGGATAACCGAGGATACCGTTAGATTGCTTTCCTGTTGGAAATGAGATCATGGTCATCTTTTACGAAACTAACCAGCAGCTAAGATCAGGAAGCCTGTGTTCTTCGCTTCACGGCTTCGATATTGGTAAAATTTCGTGTTACATGGGCTGAAAAATCTTTCATTTTAGCTATACGTTCGTTTAAAATACCTCACACCTTGTATAGCATCGTGTAACTTGACAGTTATATATACCTAAGTATCTATACACGTATGTATATCCACGTCTGGAAAATTTTTTTCTGTTTATTAGTTCATTCTTTTAGTATTTCATCAGTACGTCATTATCCAAAAGTACCGAATGACTTATTCATTAGTTCTGAGATTTTTAATTGTAGCAAATAGCTATAATTAATAATAAACTTCTTTTCCTATAAGCCTCCGAAATTCTGGTTTTACATATTTCTTGATGAACAAAACAGCTGAGTTTGGAAAAGCAATGGAGCAAGAGATATCATCAGAATATGTGTGTACCAATCACGAAATAAATTGCGCACAAAATTACAGACACAAATTCGTTTAGATATTACACGTAGATAGATATGCCGTTATGATGTATCGTAAACGTAATTTATGATACGATCGTATTACGAATTTCAAATTAAATTAGCCTTCTTTATTTTAACTTGCGTTGCATACGCAAAGACAATCGTAAACCGAAACGCAGAACACAGTAATTAAAGGATAAAGAATACCAACGACGTTTGGTGAAAAATTATTCGCAAATACACCTGCGTAGTCGACTATTGTACACAGGGTCATCCTACCGCAAAAAATTGCATCTACACACACCGACTTATTCATCTACATTTGCGAATGACTCTTCCATTTTGCAACGTGCATATGTATGAGCGATAATTATCTTCACCTGTGCACATAATCATTTCTGCTTCTGTAGGATTATTTCATATAAAGGATAATTAGTTCATGGAAGGTTGATTCATAAGCTGGGACCAAGGACTGCCAAGTATAATACGTAGTTTGACTAGGTTTTGTTCGATTTGCCAACTCTATCCAGACCATCTTCTGCCAGAACTTATTGCATCGATATTCCAGCGAGGATATTTCGCTCAAAGGATTACGATCGTGTCTTCATCATGCACCGATCGCTCGTTTCATTGATCTCCTGCTCTCTTAGTCTTTTTTTTGTTTTTTGTTCGCAATTTCCTATTTCTTCCTTCATTTTTCTTCATGATCCACGTATAACGAGTGACAGGATTGATTAGATAGTTGAAAAAAATCTATGGTGATGGAAAATTCGGAAATTTAAGTAGATAAGTTCAAAGAATTTAGAAAATTTCAATTTAAAACTTTCAATTTGATTGAATATTATTACTACTTACTAATTTGAATATTATTACATCGAAAATTTCAAAAATAAAATAAAACCAAATATCTTAAATTTTAGTCGTCTAATGTTAATTAGCCCAATGTTAATCTAATGTTAAATTACCATATTCATCTATGAGACTTTCAACATACAGAGAACTCAAAATCAGATAACTCCAAAAAAAAAAGAAAATAAAAACAAAATGGAGATGTAGATATCTGTTCGTCCTTTTCTTTTTTGCTTGTTATTCGAGACACATATACAGGCCTTATATTTTGTCCGCGACGATTCTCGACCAACTCGAGTCTTATTGTAAGACTGAGAATACCCCCTGACGGTTCTACGAGCGGTTCCGAATTATTTAATACCAACTTTTCAAAACGCGAAAACGAAAATAACGCGGGCAAATCTGACGGATTATTCCCCTCTGCTCAACCAGCCCCATTTCGAGGATTATTTAGTATCGCTTTTATCGAGCTGCACCAGCAATAATGTTCTTTTTTCAAGCTGTCGACCAATAGTAGACACGGAATCGCGAACCATAGGAGATTCAAAGGTTCCGTGTACTTGTAAGTTGAAGTCGTTGTTGAGCCGAGAGTGCGTCTAGGACTTCTCAATTAACTGTCTGGACCAGCTGGTTTCAAGCACTGGTCTCGACCAGAGTCTCGAACGTTTGAAAATGCAGGCGGCGATATCGTAAAGAGGATTCTTTATGCTTATTCGCGGTTGATTGGCTCGATGTTCGGCGTTTATGTTTGGTACAGGAAGGCCTCGGGCCAGCTGTTGATCACTATTTTCACCCGTATTCTCCCCCCCCCCCTGATTATTTTTAGGGATGTACAACTTGTTGCAACGTTGGCGTCATGAAATGAAATGATGCCATGAATTGACGATACTTTCGAGTCGTATCTTCTCGACTGCGTCAAGATGGGATCACCCCCGTGATCTTACCTTTTTCTTTTCTTTTTTTTTTCCTTCGCTGACGTTCCCAGAATATTGTTAACTGTAGCTTCGCCAACCGATTTTACGATACTCGTCATCGAGTGACTACGCCTTCGAACGAATATTTTTCACGTTGACAAATTGCGCGAAATTTTCGGAAATCTCTAATGTTGATATTTTGACACGCGAACCATGATTCTTCCTTTATCCAGTCATAGAACAACTTTAAATGATTTATAGTTTTTTATAATACAAGTTGCAAAATTTTCGTTAATGAGAATATTAACCATTTCGATATATGTACATCATGTTCGACATTGACATAGAGGGTCATTCCATCCCTTTCTGTAGACACTCTCTCGAGAAAAAAATGGCCCCGAAAGAAAGACAAATTTCCCCATGACAATTAGAAAACTGTAATTACCTGTTTAAAATTCCCTGGTGGTGATTTCCTTTTGCGAAATTTTACTCGGCTGAAATGTAAAGTGTATTGCTTGCATCGATGGGAGAATTGGCCACGTAAAAAACTGCGACGATGTAGGAAGAACATGGCAAGGCGAGGACGTCAGCAAGAATGTCGACGAATTTCCAGGGAGACGTAAGAACCGTGGACGCGGATGTGTGCGAAACACTTGTCCCCGTATCCGGGCGTTTCATTGCTATATAACATGCAGCTTTATATAGAGCCATGTACACGAGGGTTTAGAGACGGGTCATGTATATATGTACATATATCCGTGCGTCTATCTCGATGGCGACATTGGAGAAGTCTCATTAGACCAAAGTCTCGTGGAACGAGAAAGCTGGAGGCGACACGGATATTCGGAGGAAGACATGAAAACTTGGAGATTGTGGAAATGCAAGAATTTCACCGATCCGTTGGTCGAGGAACGAAGAAACGACGAGAGACGGGGAGATAGGCTGGCGAGGAATGGGAGGAAGACGACAAACGAATAGCCGAGAACGACGGTAGATAAAGGGGGGAAAAAAAGAAGAGACGTTTCTCGAGAGAATCGGTGGAAATTCTCGCTGCTATATTCTCACCTTAACTTCCTTTGGACATACTTTATGCTGTCCTTAAACGTTCATTACTTTCTACACTGTTGCAGTGGAACTTGTAAGGGAAGTTTCGATCGATATAGCACACAGGACGATTCAATTACGTAAAGAGTAAGAAGAAATATACGCATTAGCGCGTGCACTTTTGAATTATTGCGAACAAAATGTAGTTCAAATGGAACTATTTACTCTTTCTTTAATGAGGTCTTTTATGAGATAATCGTGTGTTAATAGATGTCGATAAAAGGATATTAGTAAGATATTGATAAAAAGAAATGTATAAAAGAACAAGTTTGATTTTAATAGAATATTTATAATGTAACAAGAAATTACAAATGAAATTATAAGTGTAATTATATTATAAATATTTTCTTAAATCACAGATCATAGAATAATTGGTCAAATTATATCATATGGGTATTCATGTTTATAATATACAAAATTTTTTGGTGCAAAGGGCCTTCGACTCGAACGAATAACAAAATATATTTTTCCTTCTGTAAGGTATCGATTTAGCGTGTCGAACAGTGAAGAGAAAGAGAAAGAGAAAGAGAGAGAGAGAGAGAGAGCGAGTTGACGAAATCATAGCCTTGTGATAAAATTTGGAATCCGGTGGCTGGTTAGCCCAGCGACGCCTAGGGAAAAAAAGGTCGCATCAATGGGGACGACTGTCTAGACAAGTGATCAACACACGAGACTGTAAAACTTTGTAGCCGCGTGATCCCGCATTGGCGACGAGTGTTCTTGCTTTTGTATATATGTATATTACAGCACGTTGCTGGCCGGGAGAAGGCAATGACGTAATATATTTAACAATGTCTCACGATATGAGACGTTTTTACGGAAAGTCGTTGGCATAGGAATTGCTCTTTGGATCTGGCGATGCCAGAGTTCCAGGCGAACACATTGGAAATGAGTTTGCTCCTCTAGATATCTAAAACCCCTTCGGGGGTTACGCTTACACTTGCACGTGCATCTGCCGCTGCAAAACCCCGCCGCCAGCGCGCAGACCAACCTAGAGTTGAAATTCCGACTTTTATAACCGATCGGGAACTCTGGCCATTCCGTTCGATCGAACTTCGCCGTGGCGTGGTCTCTCCCG